AATTTTGCAAGGAGTCTGCAAACCTCTTGTGGAGTTCCGTTGTATCCTGTCGTCAGAGAAGAACAGTCATTTCAGCATGGGCAATATTCTCCGTCAAGTTGCGAAGCACGCTGATGGCAGCTCGAACGAACCGATGCCAGCTTCATCTGAACTGGAGAAGGAGCTTCCCGTTACATTGCAGAACACAACATTGCTGAACAGAGGGTCTCTGTTTGGCCCTGGTCGAGAAGCCGGGTACCGACGTTGTACTCAGCGGAACTTCTACTCAGGATCGCCTCGTCCAATCAATCCAGACCGGTGGCAAACTTCACCGTGTTATGAGTGGTGGAGGGGGATGGGGTAAGAAGCAAGGGCTGCTGTCATTGATCCGGAGATGAGCTTTTTGGAAGCAAAAGAATACGGAGAGCTGTCAGTCCTTGATCATTTATTCCCACGGTGATGGCAGGACCCCGGTCCAAGAGCCACTGCCCTTTGAGCAGCCTACAATGGCAATGGACGATTTGTCGTCGCTGTCACAAGTTTGCTAGTCCAGGCGACTACGTTCAATTCTTCGTTTCTGTTGAGCCAGGCCAGGACGCACAGTGGCCTTCGGGCATTGTCAGAGCTACCTCAAGGGAGCGTTTCGTATCATTTCGGTATGGTTTCTGATGCAGATATGCCGGCAACCGAGGCTACTGAGCACACAGGTCTGATAGCCGTTCCTCGCTATTTTGGCGCTCTATCGGAGAAAAGCAATCACATACTTCCAGCCCAAGATTGAGGCAAACTCCAAAGGAGGTGTGCTTGGAACCAGCACCAAGTGTGATATTCCTGGAAGTCGAATTGAGATGACTTTGGCATAAGATATCTGAACTCAAACACATGTAATAGCCCACAGGCGTGTATATTGTACAATAGACTCTACTGGTCATTTCACGCAACATTACGTAGAAAACTCATAAACTTCTCATGGTTCAAGTTGGTTGACTTGACCCATCACTATTGTCGATCTGCCAAGCCGTAATCACGTGGCAGCGCAGATGGTAGCTGAGCCTCTCCGAAGCAACCAGCGTGTTCGCACTTGACCTCCAACTCCATCCCGAAACCACAAAGCCTTCGCATTCATCGCAACGAGTAGCTTCTGCAGTCCTTAAATCGCCCGTTGTCGATCACTTTACATCTCCTTGAGCTTCACAAATCACATTTTTGATAGTCCGACGGTTCGATCTTTCAAATGCACGGAACTTTGGTACGTAATCACTTCATCTGCTCCTTTTCAACTAGCTACTGCTCGAATCCCGGTCAACCCTGCATCAATTCCAGCAACCGATCTTAAGTGCTAATGATTTCACCTGAATAGCCAGTTTATGCTGTGAGTATTCCGCTCTTCCACAGCCACCGATACGAGAGCTCTTTTCCGTACTCCCACGGATAGCTTCGTCATTGTTTCTCCAGCACTTGGAGCAATCTCACTCGCGTCTTCAAATACAGTCAGTACTGACTCTGATAGCCCTTCTTCGGTGTCTCGGCTGCACTCGGCCATTGTCTTTACCTGCTTCGAGCTGCCTATGGAACTGCCAGGCTGGTGTCGGTGTCTGCGGGATGGCGTCCTCCGGCCCGACCTGATTGTAAAGAGTATGTTTCCGGCATCGTACCGGTTTGACATTTGGATGTGTTCACTGATGGCTTTCCATAGACATTGTTCCATTGTCATGGCTGGTATCATTGGTATCTATGGACTGGTCGTATCCGTCTTGATCGCAAACGACTTGAGTCAGAGTATTCCTCTGTACACAGGGTTCATTCAGTTGGGTGCAGGTCTCCGCCGTCGGTCTCGCCGGTATGGCAGCTGGGTATGTTCCATCACAATCTCCTTCCTTGGATTCTATTTCGTTTGTCCCTGAACTGACCTTGCTCGCCTGCAGCTTTGCCATCGGTATTGTCGGTGACGCTGGTGTCCGCGGAACCGCCCAGCAACCCAGACTTTATGTCGGCATGATTTTGATTCTGATTTTCGCTGAAGTGTTGGGTGAGTACCATGATATGTGACTCTTCCATAGCTTCATATCACTAACCGTCGCTCGTTCTTTGTGCAGGTCTGTACGGTCTTATCGTTGCTCTTCTCATGAACTCTCGCTCGAGAATCGACGCCAAGTGCTAAACGGGCACTCTATCGACTCTCACGAAATGAGAAGGATCGAATCACTATCAAGCGAGATTAGCCCGCCCTCTTTGTGTGTACAAATTGCATTTTTGGGATGTGGGTTGCTCAAACACCATGTAACGAGATAATTGACCTTATGTCTCGGACATGGTAGCAGGATCTGCTGTCCATTGTCCAGGCTAAGGTACGAAAACTGACTTGAACGAGGGAGGTGGATCTGGGGCTCTTCAACTATAAATGGACAACAGATATAATGCTGATGTGTTGGCGGCCGAGAGATGTAGACTAGGAAATTGGGGTTGGTTCACAGACTCTGGTAGATACATCGCAGGGCCAACATCCGCGGTGAACTTGTACTTTATGCGAGTTTGTTGTTGTGATCCTAGCTAGTCTGGGTCATTTCTCTTGCAATGCTGAATGTTTTTGCTTTTTCCGTTATTTCCATGTATGTTCTTGTTGGCTGGCTGGCATTCTTATTCCTGTTTTCCAGCTTTCGAATATATCATTGCTATCGCAACTACACATTTATTAAACCTGATGGCGATCCGTGCAATGGTGAGATGAAGGACGACCGTTACACTGGGCGACCTTAGCCCGACACGTCGGCAAGCTGAATAGGACGCGGATTTCAAACCATAAGTGGAAAGAGTCAAGTATATACTGCCATTATGGTGATGGCTCTAGACGGAGGATAGTATAGGATAGTATACGGAATGATATTGTCTATTGATACCAGAATGCTGGATACTATGCATCAGCGAGGAAGAAATACCACAAGGACTATGTCAACAAAGCTTATGAGAGAAAGCATTGACAAGCATACGGGAGCAAGACCCGTCAGCTAAGAGACAGGCCCAACGCTTCTCAGGGTTGTGGTTGGTCAAGGAAAGATGAGACAACGAAAAAGAAGAGAGACGCGGGGTGAAAGTGAGAAGCCAATGAGGTGCGGAAAGTTCCCTTAAGCCTTGTCCAGCTTGCGTCGCAGGGTTCTCGTCCTGCGCAGCAGCTTCTTGAACTTGTGCTTCTTCATCTTCAGCTTGCGTCTTCTCCTGGTGCTGATGGCATGCATCGTGTTGTTGTCGCGCAGGCGCTCGATGTACGAGTTTTCCGAACCGTGGGGTATGTCGATGATAGCATCGTTCTCCCCGGCTCCTGGAGCCTCCAGGTCCTGCGTGGGGACGAACGGGGAAGCATGGGCTTGGTATGTCTTGCGGCCGTCTGGATGCGTGGACTCGTGGATGGTCAGAACAGTCGAGAAGCTGGAGGTCTCTTCGGCGGTGCTGGCATCCTTGGCCTCGTCGTAGGGCACTGGAGGTGGCGGGGGTTGGAAGGGACGCAGGCGTTTGGTGAGTTCTTCGATAGAGATTCGCAATTCGGACATGTTCATTCCTTCAAGGCCCTCCGCCTCATTGAAGCCCCGACTCAGGATGTTCATCTGGTCGTCTTGCTCGCCGATGTACGCCGCGTTCTCCATGTGATGAACGGCGGAGGAAAGTGTAAGAATCACATCGGCCGGGTCGGACTTGGAGGGCTTCTTCGCGGTGAAGATGGCATCAAAGGCTTCGGGGCTGGAGGGTGGAGGTACAGTGGTAGAGACGGAGATAGGTCGATGAATGGAGAAGAATGACGCAACATGGACATCTACCGAAAGACAAATAAGTCAGTTTGGAAACTATAGAGTCAAACAACATGCGAAGCCATAAATGACATAGCCGACTCCGCATATCAAGCATAATACTGACCGTGTGGCTGTAGATGTTGCGTTGATGGAACACTGGGCAATCTCGAAAACGCAGCATGCTGATTGGACTTGGAGCCATTCCGGCCATCCTTTCCCCTCCGCTTTGAAGATTTACCTTCACGCTTATCCCCAGAGTTCACGCCTTTCGCGGGTGTCTGAGAGGAAGAATCGATGTTCCTTGAACCATCGCTGGGCTTTGAGGAAGAGGAGGAGTATCGGCGTTGACGCACATGCTCGGTCGTGCCGAAGAAACCATTCGAAGACGAAGCAAGAGCTTGACTGGATGTTCGAGAGATGGCGGAAATAGGCACAATGGGCGTCCACACAGCCCGGCGAACGGAGGATGGTAACATTTGCGCTACTAAGCAACCCAGCAAGTGGGTAATGGAGTTTGCTTGAAGCCGGCGAGAGATGTTGAAGGCGAATTCGAAGTCGGAATCGATCATGCGGAAATGGTGATTATGTCAGCTACTCCTGCCTCAGGCATGAACACATTACATGATCACGTGGCTCACCCATGAATTTTTCAGTTACGGTCCTCATACTTGCCTCGTAAGGAAATGGTGTCCTTGTTTCTGTTCAAGTTTCTGACAAAGGTGAGAGAAAATTTCTCAGCATGGACCTGCTGCGCCACGACCAGCTGGATAGCTGAATACATCAAAAAAAGTTTACAAGAGCTATGCTCTTGGTTTCCTTGGCCTTTGTTGAGGAGAATATAGCACTTTCATGGCTTAAGGTAGTACTAGAGATGAATGCGCCATAGGACTAAGATAGCTACATTTTATAACATCAGACCTATCTCGTCATTAGCTCTGGTAAAATGATGTTTATCCGCAGTTGAACCTCAGTATTTGTTCTTGAATAATGACAGAAGCTTAGATCGGCAGACCACACATACTACCTTGAAAATTGACTTTGATAAGGATTTGATCGATTCCTCTATCATTCCCAATACTAGACTCAGTAGTAATCTATAGCTGAAGAGATACGAAGACAAGAAGTATACAGGAAGTATGAACAGGTACAAGTGATAAGTAACAATCATTAGGTATTCCAAACACCAAAGAGGAATCAAAAGAACGTTAAAATAGAAAGAATGGGTATCACCCAGCAGTATATAGACATAAGTACCATCGCTGAAATGAGCAGATATGGGAATCAGGCTGTATGAGCTTTCATGCAATGTAGCATGGCAACGTAGCGAAGAGTCCACTATCCTTCGATTGATCGCTTCAATGAGCGGAAGGAGAGATGGGCAGGTATAAGATATACAGGGCAAGATATACAGAATAAGGATATGTAAGGAGTGAAAAATCCAGGAATGTGAACGCTCTCATATGCAATGGGAAAGAAGCCATGAAAAGCAGTGAGAATCCAGCGTCTCAGGTTGGCGGTAAGCCTCGTCAATAACGATCGTCTCGGTCAGAGGATACTCATAAGATGAGCGTGTGGAGATTCTTCTGGATGATCATGTCCTGTACAGATTCCATAGTCGCTTTCAAAAGCGTTGTGTCTGTAGCATTGGTGTAGTGGATGTAGATCTCACGGTCCGGTATTCGGTTGATACCGCGGAATCTATCGGCGAAGTACCGCGCTGCGGCGTCGAAATCCGAGTTCGAACCATTATAATCTGGAAAGTGCTTTGATACCGGTGAGAATTCGAGTTTCGCCCTGAAAAGGTCGATTTTGTTCAGGAATAGAATGATGGGCTTGCGCTTGAACCATTCTCCGTTCACCAAAGATTCGAAGAGCATCATTGCTTCGTGCATTTGGTTCTGCGTTTGCGTTAGATAAGATGCTTCTTCAGAAGCACTGAGGCTGAATTCGACTTACGGCATTTTGATCCTCTACTAAGCACTGGTCGTAGCCAGATAGCGCGACCATGAAAAGAAGGCACTGGACACCTTCAAAACAGTGTATCCATTTTTTGCGCTCAGAGCGTTGCCCACCAACGTCCATCATTCTGAAATTCATTTGCCCCAGCTCGAAGAGAGTCTCGGTGATACCAGTTGTCCTTAAACGGGCCTGCAGCATGTCCTGGTTGTCTGGTAGCCAACCGGGCTTGAATAACCGGTCAAGCGACCCGAAAAAGCTAGAAGAGAGTAAGTAATCGCTGATGAGCAAGATACCGGTCGAAGAGACCTACTATTGCAAATTGTCATGTAGAGCAAACTCGTGACCTCGAGACACGGCTTTTTGCACCCCTGCGTCAACCCACATCTCCCTCATGGCATCGCGGACCTTGTAATCTGAAAATGCTTCGTCCGATCCTACATCGGGCTCTAGATTGTCTATGAAATCCGCCAATTGCTGAAAATTGAAACCAACGGTTAGTATCATAAGTCGGACCAAAGCTTGGATGGGAAATATAGAGGGTTCCCCTTAAGTTTACCTTTGTATTCTCGAGTTCGAAATCAATCTGCTCTGTGCGCATAATATCCAGCAAAACCTTAAATGCGATGACTAGATTAGAGTATATAACCGCACGTGTCTGTCGTCGCTCATCCTCAGGAAACCCTCCTGAATGGATAATGCGCATTTGTTTGATAATTGTTGATTTACCTGACTCCCCAGCACCTACAAGGAACCATCAGTATGTGTGTTCGAGCTTATGGATGCGCCGTATCGTTTCAAGGGCATACCCAGTAGAAGAATCTTGATTGTCCTGTCCATCAATTTCTTGTCATTCTTCAGCGTTTTGTCTATCCGAGCTGTCCGCTGAACAGCTTCTTTATCCGCTGCTTCGGCCTGCTTGGAGCTCATGCAACCCATGATGTAGGTTTCCGTAGTCGAGGATAAAGCGTGGAGATAGGAGACAAGGCAACTGCAGTCAGGAGAAATATGGTCAGTGGACCGGCATCGATAAAACGCACGCGAAATCAGATCTTCAACGCAGATTGCGAGTTTCTCTCGAGCTGAATCAGGAGACTGCGTGCACTCCACCAAGCAACCACCTAGCGAAAGGACATCGAGACATGTATCAATGATTCAACATAAATACGAGGTATAGCAAGGCAGGAAGGTTCGAGGAAAGCGCTTATTATGGGCAGTGTTCGGAGCGGAAATCTATCGACCTACCCGAAAGTACGTTCGAAGGGCTGTGGTTCTATTGGTGATAATGTTACAAGTCAGTACATAACCTTGACCGGGGAAGTCGTCTCAAATGCGCTCTTTTGTATAAACGTACTTTCACAGCTTCTGTTATAGAAAATGCCGACGTCGATATCTTTCTGCCGCTTTGATGTATCAAGGGTTGCAGACCGTTGCTCTGCCCTGCGGTGAAATGAATCGGGGGCACTTCCGATTGTGAGGGAGGTATTGTCGAAAAGTTCGAGACAACACAGCCGACTCTATAGCTTGCGAGAATCCGGAGTCGTAATCGCAAAATCAGCCGCGACAAATTCCAAAATATCACAAGCCAAATTCGATAGTTCAACCGCAACTGAAACCGACTCAGATCCTGATGGGCGGAGATTCTGGGGTCTCGGATAGGTCGAATGGCGGAGACAAAAGTCCCGACAAAAGAAGGGGACTCCTATGCCGACAGGCCGCGATGCTTCCTCAACCCTGCAGGGGTAGAAATAGCAGTTACTCGCAGTTACTCGAAGAAACTAGCAGGGGCTATTCGACGTCTCTTGCAGCAATTCCCGTAGAGCGTACACCGGTGTCACGGCGTCCTCTAGAGCAAGGAGTTCGGGCACAGCGGACCGACTATTGTGGAGGGGAAACAAAGAAGGGAAGAAAGAGATGAAGACTGGTCGCCAACAGATAGGAGAGATAGTACATGTCTGTCGTCCCACAAGACAAGTAGACAATGGAACGGGCCAGAGACCAAGCGGGGGGAGTTAGCCGGGATGGGACTGCAGGTTGGAGTACCTTAGCTTAAAGTCGTAATGGTGGAGGTGGAAGTGGAAGCCTTCCGGAGTAGGAGTAGTAGAAGTGTCAAGTGAGATGGGCACAACGATTATTATTCAAGAAGTTCTAGGCTTGCGACCCGACCGGAGAAAGGCTAATTTGGCACCATTTCTCTTAGCTATTCAGTTAGACCTCGGGATCAGGTCGACTTCTTTGGTATAGTTTCGTTATGTTTATGTTTCAGAGCGGTTATCGAGAGTTGCCCCTGGTTCTTAAGGATTGCGTACTCGGTAGTGTCTACCTAATACTGAGTAGCCACCTAGGTAATGTTCATTAAGAGAAAACACCCAAAAAGGCGCTCCTTGGTATGTCTTATTGTTTTGTTCTAATATTACCTCAGAAGTTCTTCTCCTCGAGATACTATTGGACTTACCGACCAGGACCATTTTCAAGTAAAAAAGGTACGGGATGAGGGAACAAATGAACAGAATTCCAAGTGGCCCAGAAGGTCCAGTTGTACCCACTAGGATGGGCCATTAACGACTCTTCATTCTTCCTTCGAACACGCCAGGAACTCTTCCATGTCTCTTTTGCTGCACCTAGAGACTAGATGCATACACGCAGCATATTCCTGTTGTATCATCCATGAGACATCAATTATCAACTGTGCTGTGAAACAATGCCGCAGTCGATGTCCCCGTCCACCTATATGACAATGCACCAGCCACCAAGCCATGTGTCGCTGCTCCTGGCAAACTAGTATCTACCTATCTTCCTAGTCCATTATGGCCCAACCCGAGCCCATGATTAGTTCCCTTCATTCCCTGTGCTTTCCCCTAAATCTTCTAGTCTCCACAGAAGGCAGGCCCCATTCCCTTTCTTGGCGAGCAACTGCAACCGAACGACGCCACGAGGCAGGCATGAATCGCATTTTGGCCGGATTGGAATGCAAGGATCGACAGAGGGTTACTCTTGGTACATCCATTATTACAGAGTAATATTATTGCTATTTGCTTAGCAAAAGTCTGCTTCTGGTACTCTGGTATCTATCTAAAGAGTCCATATTATTTCATTTTTCGGCGCATTGTACAGATTCTGGATGGTGTGCATCTGATAGCGAATGGTATCACTTGGTCTAGCCTAGTGCGGTACCTAGGTAGCTTTCCGAACATGGTACTAATACTTCGCTATGACTCGAGTCCACTCAAAAAGGAACGATTTTCGCTGAAATCAACTTAGGACTTTCGGAATTTGGCCCTTGGCCCCTTTGGTTTCATGATCTCCTTGAACAGTACTCTGTTTGAGGTTAGACAGGGATTCCTAGCCCGATACGAACTTACTCGAGGTAGATGGCAAGCTGCACCACATTTCTCTCAGGTATCTATCTACCCTAGTATGCACATATGCACAGATGGAGAAACAGACAGAATAGCAGGTTTGTACAGATCATACGCTGAGACATATTCTTGCAGCTTGAAAGTATAATAGTACCTAGATACGGAGTGCTTCGTAAGGTAGACCATAATAATGAATGCCTGTACGACGTCAACGCAGTATGACAGGTATCATAATAATCATTATTATTCAATGTAGATCCTGTGCGTTTTCGGTTTGCAGTCCGAGGCCCAAACCTAAACCAAATACATGAAAATCAGAGTGGAATCGCCGAGTTCTAGTACCTGGCTTAGGCCGATACTTGCCTTATCTGGTTGGATTTGATGTCTAATCTCGTGTCTCAAGACATGAGCACACGACTGATTCTAGAGGACAATCTTGCATGATTTAGCAGACACTGCTCGGTAGTTCTCCTCTCATTATCACGGATCATTTCGGTATGACTCTATTTCACACCCGACGACCTCCTCAGTTGTCACGGTCCACAACCTTGACACTCAAGTATCCATCAAACCACGTGTTGGCCGTGGCGCCTTAGCTAGTTCTATCCACAATGACCTGACCCTTGGAATCCCGGATTATAGTATCACCATCTGACAAACCACTATTTCAGCTAACTTACTCCACATTCCATTTAGAATCCAATCCGGCAGTGACATTCTCCCGAGTCTGATGCTCTTGAGAAATGAGGAGAACTGGATGTTTCCCGGCACTTACGAGTCATACGTTTTATTAACACAGCATACGAGCCCTGCCAGTAACCTCGCTGAAGTCTGGGTCTGGGCTGTATGGCGCATGCCATTGCAACAGAATGGGCAGATTGCATGCAAGGAGACGAGCTTGAGAGAGCCATGCTAAAGCCTAAAGCATGGTAAATTCTTAGCCTTGCCCTTGCAGTAACATCTGTCGACTACCAAATAGATAGTCAGTCCGTCATGGGCTAGTCTATGGCCTGATTGTGACGAGAACCCACTTACTTAGAAGCAGCAGCATCTGAGTATATTTTTTAACGTCCTTAACCTTGGTCTCATGTGTGCGATATGACAGTGACTTTGCAGCATCAATTTGCATCAGTTGCCAAGCACTCTTAACTTCATGTCACAGGCTAACCACTGGTCAACCACGTTTCGGACTCTTCATCATAGCTGTTAAAGATTAGTCTAGTGAAATTGTCCGGGGAAGGAAAGCTCTGGATTCAGAAATGAGCTCTGCCAGGGTGCCAGGGGTTTGCCCCGTTGGTGACGCATCCAACAGGCGAAAGCACAAAGAAGAAAGCCCTTAACCAAGGTGGATATGGATTCCCTGACCAAGGACATGTCAGAGTAGAAGTTCTGCAATTTCAAAGCTCCACCAAATCCCGGCACTCCTACCACTGCCTCTTGCTATCTGCCAGAATATGTATGTGTATGACAATAATGATACTGTCACTCGATAAACACCGTCTTCCCGTCCTCACCGCTATCTGATATTATTAGATTGTCGTAGATATGTCAAGACAACACACCGGAGGATTTTAACATACAGGGTTAAGGCCAGTGTAGATACCATATAAGACCGCCATACCGAGGTTCTATTTTACAACTTTAATGCGATCTCTTCACTGTCTTCGTTTTCGTGACCGTGTAATAGTTTCTTTTAAACCCTCAAACATAGTCTAGATCCTGTCAGCCAGGAACCTCCTGTTCTGCGTCGCTGGTGAGCAAGTGCCGATGTTTGAGCGAGATATTGCCGTGTCTACTCCGTACTTATTCATGATCAAAACACCACCATCATATATCCGTATTTCCCAAGATAGAAACAGTTATGAAATAGATGAATGCACAATGCGGGTCTATGAAGTACGGAGTACCCGTAATCCACCTTGGCTGAAGATCATCATAAGAGTTAGGGAACGTTGGGAAATGTTTGATTTGGGAAGTTTCTGCTTTGGCCTCCTGCAAAGTGGGAAATACCTCTCCGAGCCGGCTCTGCTGATGACTAGAAATCCCGTACTCCGTACAGCATAGAGGGCTGAAGCCAGATCACGCCATAATAACAGGAGAATATAGCTGAGATAACTGGATGAAGGGAAAGCTAGCATGGGCTGAGATAACCATCCACTATGAACTTTCCACTCTGAGTAGGTTTGCAGTGTCTCTAGCTTCATAGAAGGACTAGATTAGATCGCTAGGAAAGACAAGGATAATTCGGGCTTTGGCAGGTTCCGTTCTTTTGCCCAACCGTTTATTTGTTTCCGGACAATTTAACTGAGCCAAATCAACATAAAGTTTGGCAAACTTAGACGAGTTGTGGGGCTGTGGTACTTGCAAGTTGACAGTTGACGGTTGACAACTAAAGGTAGATATCTAGTCCGTCTACTGGATAAATGGGAGGGTAATATGCAACTACCCCGACAATGATCATCATCAGAAGCGGATTACGTTTCTCTATATGAATGTTCAGGTCCTGGATTTCTACTACCTTAAGTGTTATTTCATACTCCGTGCAGCCTGATTTCTTACGATCTCAGCTAAACTTGTCTAAATTGAAGAATGCTGGTCAACAGGTTGTATCACTCAACCCATGACCGATATGTTGCAATACAAAGGGTCCGTCATACATATTTCAAGCTCACAGAACATCTAATAACGTGCCTTTGGACATTTCCAACTTTGATCGCAAGAACAGTAACTGTTTACCCCGTACAACAGCTCTAGCTAGCGGCTTACTCATCATTGATCCAGCATGTGACGCCATCCTTGAATGAAACGGAGGACAATTGAGGAGAACCTGTCTTGTGAACGATAGAGCTCAGAAACCCAAGGACACGAGCTGTTGTATACTTTGTATTTTTGATCATACGCATAATAATCACATATATACTGAACGAACTTTGAAGTGGCCCGCCATGAGCTACAGGGAGGAAATGACTCCCAGCTCTCCCCCTTACAGGTTAGTTGCAGGACAGTGGCCGCCGTCACCGTCAAGCATTCACTAACTATCTCAATAATGTAGTCATGACGACTCTGACGATGCCTTTATACTACGAGAACTATCGACCCCCGAGCTTGAGAAGCGCCGGTTCCTCTACGCCGATGACCATACCCGAGATGGCAGTCTCGATATCGATGGGTTTGACGCGAGGTCGTTCGACACACCGTGGTATCGACGAAGGGGATCTTGTTTCTCAATGATCCGATTTGCTGTATTCTCTATAATGATATTCATCTCCATCGCCTACTACTTTTGGTCTATAATTCCTAGTGCGTCCATATCATGCGAATGCAGGTCCTCATTATCCCATTCTAACCATCGCGCAGACGAACCGTCCGACAGCGTTCCTCCCCGCCCTGTGTCCCCCCGCTCTGCGAATCACCAGAATGTGTACATGCTGCCTCCGAAATTCTGTACAGTCTAGATCCCAACTATGCCGAGATCGATCCTTGCGAGGACTTCGAGCAATATGTTTGCGGGGGCTGGAGAGAACGGCACGATCTGCGGCCTGACCAGGGCTCCATGTTTACTGGGACTCTCATGGCCGAAGCAGCTCAGATGCGCCTTCGACACATTTTGGAATCCACAAGTGCCCCTGAAGCTGCTGATGAAGAGAACTTTAGGAAATTGAAATCCGCTTACAATGCTTGCTTGGACGAAGCCGCAATCAGCAAGCGTGGTAGTGAGCCATTGGATGCTTTGCTGGCTCAATTCGAAGATATCTATTCCGCAGAGTCAGCTGCGGTTGGTTCGGATGTCAATATCACAGATGCAGTATTATTTCTCATGAATTCTGGCGTTACGGCGCTGGTGGAAATGGGCCCTGGTGTGAGTACTCCAGCCGTTGGCATTCCACATCTTCTTGTTCTAACAGGCGAAGCCCGATGATCGTGATCCGGACAAAATTGTTATCTCTGTCGGCCCACCAGACGAAATTGGGCTTCCGGTCAGGGAGTACTACAACAGCTCCCAGACTGTGTCCGAGTACACCGAAGTGTTGAAAGAAGTTCTTGGGGACTTTGTCGGACAGGACAAGCGAGTCTCCGTTGAGGATATTGTGCTGTTTGAATCGAAGCTAGCAAATGCAACACCAGATGCGCAGACCTTGCAGGATGTGGAGAAGTACTATAACCCACGCAATTTTGACCAGATCGAATATATGCTGCCACAGATCTCTTTATCTACCATGGTTTCCGCGCTTTCCCCTGCCGATTTCAAGACCGACCGCCTGATTGTTTCTTCGCCTTCCTATATGGAGTCCCTGTCGACTATTCTGAGAGAAACCCCTAGGAAGACTATTCATCAGTTCTTCAAATGGAAGATCATCCAGGCGTATGTGGACCAGATAGAGGACGCCAAAATCACGCCCCTGCGCAGGTTTTCCAACAAGCTAGCCGGCAAAGACCCCAAAGCTACAACCGAGCGGTGGAGAACGTGTATTGGGTCGTTAGATCGAGGACTCAGCTGGAGTCTCAGTCGATTCTATGTTCTCGATGCCTTTTCCAAGGCATCTAAGGAACTGGGTGATCAAATTATTTTGGATATCAAGCAACGATTTGTGAACATCCTACACCAAACTAGTTGGATGTCGCCCGAGGTACGGAAACTCAGTATTGAGAAAGTCGACAACATTGTCCAAAAGATCGGATACCCTACCAAGAGTCCAAATGTGATGGACCCAGCGGACATCGAGAGGTATTACCACGAGCTTCATATCTCCAATGACACCTTCTTTGAGAACGAAATGGCTATTGCGAAGTTTGATCTTCACCGAGCCTGGTCGAAGTTGGGCAAGCCCACTGACCGAAACGAATGGGGAATGAGTGCACCAACTGTGAACGCCTACTACAATCCTCCCTTGCAGGAGATCGTGTTTCCCGCCGGTATTATGCAGCCGCCAGTATTCTACGGGAAATCTGCACCCTTGTATCTAGCCTACGGAGCGTTTGGCGCTGTGAGTGGGCATGAACTTTCCCACGGTGAGTGAAGCCCTATATGAGAACTATCATCCTGAAAATCTTCTTATGGTCCGCGCTAGCTTTCGATTCGACTGGTCGGCACTATGACCAGACTGGGAACTACACCGACTGGTGGGACGAGAAGACCGTCCAAGGTTTCGAAGAACGCGCGCAGTGCTTCGTTGATCAATACTCAAATTTCACCGTGCCAGGAGAGAATGAGGAGCCTCTCCATGTGAACGGGCGCCTTACTCTAGGCGAGAACATTGCAGACGCTGGAGGCCTCGGAGCCGCGTTCCAGGCATGGAAGAAGAGAGACGAAGCCTCGCCGGATGCTCATCTCCCCGGCCTTTCCAACTTTAGCAAGGAGCAGCTCTTTTTCATCGCCTATGGGAACTGGTGGTGTGCTAAGACGACCAAGGAAGCCGCCATTCAAGCTATCTATACTGACCCCCACGCTCCTAAGTTTGCAAGAATTATTGTGAGTTGAACGCCTGCCCGTTTTGGTATAGAATAGCGTTGACAATGATGGCAGGGCACGATGGCCAATTCTCGCGAATTCAATGAGGCATTCAATTGCCCCACCAAGAAGCCCGTGTGCAAGCTCTGGTAGCTGAAGTGGTTTTTTCTGCTCATTAACTCTGCAACATATCTCTTGCTTGATAATGTACCATTGGGCGCCTGTAATCTTGTTAAATGATATATCGACTGTACTGGCTATAGTCTTGGTTAACGTCTACTACTGCTTTGAGATTGCTCAACCATGCGTCCTTCCATGTGTCTCCAGTTGATTCCTCGAACAATCTGCAAACCTGAGTGGCTCTTCATCTACCCAGCATCGGGTTCGAAAACCGTTATGTGTCAGATGGTCAATCGCCTTGTAGAAAGGTAAGGTAGCAAGACCAAAGTCCAGCTGCACGGAGTAGATCTGTCAAAACCCGCGGCAACTCTATCCCTCAGCTGTCAAGGTCTGTACAAAGCAGACTCAGCTACATACCTGGTAGCTAGACGACTCGTTCTCGCACAGAGGTTGGCGAGCTACATACCAGATAGCAGATCGTAGGGGCAGGACGGAGTATTCTTTTTTCCATTTTACTCCTTTCTCCTTTTCCCCTTTCCATTCCTGCCTCCTTTTTCTCTTTACCATGACACTTCGTGTTCTTTCCACCCCCTTTTTGAGGTTCTGAATATGTACCTAGTACGGAGTATTTAGGGACGGACGTCACAGGTGGGCGATCATTCGATGGCCTAAAATTAATCCGTCCCACTTTTGTAGCTCCAACGGTCCTGTACTCCGTAAGTGTGTTAGGTATCCAAGTTGATACAGTGGACAGGTATCCTACTTGTAGTAGCAGTTAGTTTTCGATTTTCCTGCCTCATACTCCTGGCTTTAGACTACGGTGTGCACCTGTCACTCCTGGTTTGATCTGCTGGTCCAGCCTCCATGAAACATCCATCGGCGGTTGGATGTGAAGTCACGCGGGCTGTCCGAACACTAGTAGTTACAGAAGACTCCCTTGGTGGCAGGCCAATAATCCGTATATAGCTGTAGATCAATCAACCGCAAAATTTCGATAGCACTTGTACTTTGGGCATAATTCCGAATTTGGGCCGTTAGAGTTTGGTGGAGACAAAACCATAATATTCTACGGAGTTAGGTAGATAGATAGGTACCGCTTTCTAAAACCATGGATACATAGAGGCCATCCCCATGCCCCGGATGCCATTGACTTTGTACCGCACGGTAGAACCATAGAACAGTAGAATTCAAGTTGTTTCTATGGCTCAACCGTCTGAGGAGAGAGTCCTTAAAAATACCTCAGCTACATGATTCAATAATTGATGCAAAGACGGAAAGGAAGAAATGAGATCCTTCACATGATCCTTGGATGGATCATGAGTTCCCTTAGACAGTTAGAACAGACTGACAGCCACAGAGGTTCCGCCGGACTGGAACGGTCCCACGCAGCGCCCCCCCGATCAGGGCTGGATTCAACGAACTAGTGAGACGGTGATGCGCGTCTTACCTGTTTCTAATTTCCATTGCTTCTCGTTCTCGCTCTCTTTCTTCCTCTCCATCGCGCGGCTCCTGGGACATTCATGGGATATGGAGTACTTCATCATCGTGTCCTTCATGACTTGACCTCGTTATGAATTAATGAATCTGTTTCTGTTTTGTTTGAGAACCTGTTGTACGGACTACTATCTGTTTTCTCCGAGGCTTCTCAGCAACAATCATCTTGAAGTGATACATCACCTCCGTTATCATCTGTCGCATATTGTCTAATCTTCTATTATTCGCTGCCCGTATTGATTCGATTCTGTCAGATGCCGAGCCAGTTCGTCACACCGTCTCGGTCTTGGAATCAAATCTACCCTGTCATTCGTCATCTCTTCCTCGCAGCCCGCAGTCACCACAATAAGCACAATATCACCAACGCACTATAGCCTCACCAGGTTTGGTCATGTCGTGTCGCAAGCACGGTTTTCAACCCCAGCTTGGGCTGTCCATTCGTCTTCCCTCGGTGTAGTCGACGCGACCTCTGTGAAGCAGGGGGACGACTAGTCCACTACACATATCATCTCCTCGTCTTACATAGACCGTACTCGATCTCCCACGGTTTTTCTCCCTACATTAGCCGACATGGAGTCGGTGGTATTGGCACCTGACAATATATCTCTCCAGTCGGATCGGCCCAAGGACTTTTCCCCGACCGTACGCGAACGTGAATATCTCGCGAACGAACCAATCGATATTGAGACCCGGTTTGCGACGTCAGCCTCCAATTTACGACGCGCTCACACCGTGGCACAGGGAAGGAACATCGCAAAATCAAATATTGGCGTGAAAGCGGTCAGGGGAAGGGTTGCAACCTCGATCCTACGTGCCAAGGACAGCCATGAAGTACTGAAAAAGCGTCCTGTTAAGCGCTTCGACATCCCACAGGCCCCGCGTGATGCGCTTGCAGGTGCGAGGGAACCGAATCACTTCACAGTTGGAAATGTCGGGCAGAATGGCAAGATCTTTCTCAGGTATGGTTGGAGCAGGCGCTCAGGTTTCACGAAGCTTGGGAGAGACCACAAAATGACTAATGAACCACCTTGATTCGTTCAGGCCGATTCAGAATCCGTTGCACAAGGAACCGCATCCTACATCCTTTCCCCTCCACCTGCTCGGTCCAAGACCAACCACTTGCATGTGCAGTCACGCAGTCATGATGGAAACGACCCATCACGATGGTCCAATTCGCAGCTCTCTGAACTGCGCCCCGAATTCATATCGGAGGAAGCTGGTGAGGACGGCGATTCTGTGGTCACGGACGAGGCAGCCTCTGAGTACAACCGTCAGCACCAGCACCGCCAGCGCGCGCATTCCTTCTCCACAGTATCAGAGCAGCAATCGGTGTCGGGGGAGAAGCGATACGGAGAGCTTCGGATCTTCATTGACAGACCCGACGATCGACCCAGGACTGCAGATGAGTCTCGGCGCCCGACACTGGATATCCCAATCCCCCATTACCGATTGGGAACGCCACAGTTCAATACCGAAGGGAGTGCTGCTTTGCACAGCTCCGTATATTCGCGAGCATCCTTGTCCGACAATTTTCGCGTCTCGGGTTTCCTGAGAGAAAATTACAGCGCTAGTCCCAGTCCTGGTCCCAATGTCTACATTGGGGACTCATTTCAGCCAGAAAGGCCGTCCTTTGCTGCCTCCATGTTCTCTGGCCAGCCAGCTATGGAGATGCCTCGAGCCTCAACTGCGACGGTGAATCCGGTCTTCTACGAACTGAAGGAGCCCATTGAGCCCTCCATATACGACCGCCTCTCTTCGAAAATGCATGACGGCTCTGTAGTCCGTTATATCTCTGGGACCAAGGACATCGGCGCGGCCACTCCAGCACGCCTTGTAGCGCAGATATCGTCCGAGTCGTTCATGGATTATGAGCTCGTGTCTGACTTTTTCCTCACCTTTCGCTCTTACCTCTCCCCCGGTAATCTTCTCTCTCTTCTGCTCGCTCGGCTGCAGTGGGCTATCAATCGACTTCAGGACGATGGCAGGATTATCCGCATTCGTACCTTTGCGGCGCTCCGGCATTGGATTCTCAATTATTTCGCCGATGACTTTGTCCCTGATTATGACCTTCGCGCTCGATTTTGCGACACAATCAATACCATGTACGACAACGTCAAGGCCCGGGAAGGGGGTGGGACGAGTGACTTGAAGATCTTAATCGACCTTAAGCGCTGCTGGCATGGCAAATGTGCCGCCTACTGGGACTTGCCGACAGGCCATATAGCTCCAGGCGCCGTCATTGTCCCGGGTGGTCCCGACTTCGAAACAGGTCCCAAGGGCGAAGTCAATGCGGAGGAGCACGAATACGATTCCACAACGCCTGAAGTCAACCAGGAACACCAAATTGGTGTCCAGCACAGCCTCCCTGCTTTTCAACAGATCCAGCACGATCGGAACAATTCCACGGCTACGGCAAAGAGCATGCCGGCATCTACAAGAAGCGATCATAGTGTTCAGGCCACGTCTTGTTCCTTGCCACCCAAATCTCCTAAGCGCCTCTCCGTACCTGTTGCCGCATGCAAGGCGCCTCATCCAGTGCCTATAATCCCGTCTAAGCTTCTATGTTCCCCACCCGAGTCCCCTAACGTGTCCCCAATTATAGCGAAGCGGCTCCCGTTCCATGGCCATGCGCACAAGCGCAGTGGTAGCTTTTCCGACTCCGTTCGGGATGACAGGGCGCCTTTGTCTTTGCTGAAGCTTGAACAGCTGGCGTTCGCTTCTCAAGAGATACTGAACCTAGGAAGCCTGATTCGCGGCGAGCTGTATCCTCCAGCCGAGTCGTACATGACCATGATGGCGCCGCCTTCTCCCCCTTTGCCGTCGTCCGCGAGCGCTGGCGCACAGGACCGTCGCAATACAATAAATGAGACTTCGAAGCCTCCTGGCTCGAGTTCAGGGATGAAGACGATTATCGGGTCTATTCGCCGAGCTCTACATAGTAGGCACGGAGGACAAAGCGTCTCGTCGCGTGCCGCGAATGGCCAATGGAGCCCTTCAATGCGGGGGAAAACATCAGCCTTACCTAACAATGTAGCCTTCGGATCTGATCTGTACAGAGACAGAAAGACCGCGTCGACGTCAAAGAGACCGATTCGAATCGATATTTTGTGCGACGAGGCGTTGCAAGAATATCGTTGTGCGGTTGGCGAGGTAGACTCACCCCAGACGGCTAGGGCCCCCAGACCAGAAGTGACCGAGCAAGCGATGGAACTGGAAGGCAAGAAGACAGACCGCCCGGCTCCCGGCTTCGACCGCTCAAAGGCCAAAAGTCAGATTACCATGGGCAGTCAATCTATCGTCATTGTGGATGCCACCGGGGCGGGAGATCCCGTCATGTCTGGAGCTGTGCTGGAGCATTCGATGGGGCTTGAGCAATCTCCTGGCTTTCTGAACGCTGCGTACACACGCACAACTGTCAAAGCAGCCTCTCTGCGCCCTCCGTCTCATAGGTTGGATCTGGCAGAAGATCAATATTCCCTGCCCATCTACTACGAGGAAGCGGACTCTGGGCCACCTAATCGAATCTCGAGGTTCCTCCGCTCATCTGGAATCTCTGACCCCCGCCGATCATTCTCCACGGAGCGTTTCTCGGTCTCTTGGAAGAGAACATCTCCCTCTCTTCGTCTCCGAAAGTATGCGTCTTTTCAAAGCGGGATATCGAGACAGCGTTCGGCCATGGCGCGAGAACCATCGCTACCGCCAGCTGCTCATTCCAACCCTTCTAAGCTCACCGTTGGAACGCAGGTTGGACCAACGCTTCGTCGGCGCCCTGGTGGAGATTTGCGGCAGATGCAGACCGTGTGTGGCCTGCGGTCGCGCCCGGACTCCGGGTCATTTGCTTCTGGATCAACCTATCGCAGCTCCTTCCCTGATAGCATGATGAGTGGACAACATCATGATGTTTCCAGGCGCCAAACGAGCCTGATCCCTCCTAATCCGCGATATGAGTTGATTCAGACTCACTCGTCTCAGATGCTGAGGCGCTCATTTGAAGCTGCTATTGCTCAGTTTGCGCAGATTCCGGATGATGACGACGGAGGGATCGAGTCAGCGTTGTTGAAACTGGAGGGAAAGTGGCCCGGGTCCCCTACCGGCGGGGAACCGGCAGGCCTCTCCCAGGGTGACATGTGCAGAGAGCCAGACCATCTTCAACACGGTCAGGCCCTCGGGTCGTCTGACCCTACAACATCGGAAGTAGCTCACAGACGGTGCCAAAGTTTGCTCGGGACCGATTTGCTCTATCCACAAGCACGGCGGCGCCTTTCCCCTCCAGACCGTACTCCGACTCGCTTGCGGGATCGGAGTCGGGGGAGTCGTATAGCTCAATACCCCTGCTCGAGCGAGGCCTGAGTGACGAGTCGATGAAGAAACCCGAGCCGACCCCGGGATCGCAGAACTCCACTTTGCTTCGGCCTAGGCTGAGCAGGATATCGATTCAGGACACGATGGAAGTTCAGTCCTCTCATCCATCTATCGATATCGTTCAAAAGACCGATAGCCTTGAATGTATCCCACGAGGGTCCACGCTGCCTGTGCCTTTATCCAGAGACTCTAAAGACCGACGGGGACGCCTTTCAGGACTTTCGTCCGAACTTTCTGTTGATATTATAGGATCACAGGAAGCTTTCGACCCGCGGCTCTCGTTGGGCACGCAGAGTCTTGGGGATTCCTCATTTGGGATTCCGCCTCATCCTCTGGCTCACCCTCCTTCACCCCCGATGACCATACAGAATCCTCGTTCAGTGGCCTCCTGCACCACGCCCATGGATCCAGTTCTGTTTCCGGCGGAGCCATTAACCCCAGACCCCTCACCTAGGAACAAGAACACTGAACGGAACAATCTTCGCCCGGTGAACACGCACCACGTCTCGGGTGATGTACTCTCTCGATCTGAGATGGATCGCCAACGCTACAATATCTCCCAGAACCATGAACCAGACCATGTCCCATTTATCCTCTCATGCGAATCCCAGATCCTTGCTCAGCAGCTGACCATAGTCGAGATGGCTGCGCTCAGTGAGGTGGATTGGAAAGACTTGGTCGATATGAATTGGAGTAGCGGCTCGCCCTCCACTCGGAACTGGGTCCAGTTCCTTACCGAGGAGGAACGAAGGGGAATAGATCTCGTAGTGGGTCGATTCAACCTCATGGTGCGATGGGTGATTTCGGAGATTGTTCTCGTGCGTGCGGTAGAAGAGCGAGCTAGCACCATCATCAAATTCATCCATACTGCTGCTCACGCGAGACGGATCTGCAACTACGCAACGATGCTGCAGATTGCCATTGCTTTGTCTTCTACAGACTGTTCGCGACTGCAGAAGACTTGGGCTCTGGTGCCTCCGTCGGAAAGGCGCCTGCTAAAAGACATGGAACTACTCATCCAGCCTGTGCGCAACTTCCATGATCTTCGCATGGAAATGGAAACGGCCAATTTGCAGGAAGGCTGTATCCCGTTTGTCGGTTAGTGAGCTCGCGGCCGACGGTATCTCATAGACATACTGACAGGATTTTCAGGATTATACGTCCATGACCTCACCTACAACGCGCAGAAACCAGCGCAGGTAGCAAACCCCAACGGAGAACCGCTGGTCAACTTTGAGCGATATCGCACGGCAGCCAAGATCGTCAAGAGCCTTCTTCGACTGATTGACGCGAGCACCAAATACAAATTCGAGCCTGTGCCGGGCATCATCGAACGTTGTCTCTGGATCGCATCGCTTTCCGAAGATCAGATTCAAAAACGCAGTAGGATGCTGGAATGAGCTTCTGATACCCCAGTCGTTTTCTCTTCCTGCTTTGGTCTCTGAGAGATTTACTGACTTATTATTTGCATCTACCTTGGAGGAGTCTTGTCATTTTGTGCATTTGCGATTGCCATGGTGTACACCTATACCCTGCAGGGATATCATCTTGTTCATATTTTTGTTATTCAGCTGATCATGCGTGAGCATTATGGATGTACACTATATACCTGCATTATTTAACGCTTGGAGGATGGGACTGAATGGAGCAATTATCGTTGATGGTATTTAGTGGTTGAAAGTAATAAGCGGTAACTTCATCCATGATTGTTGATGGAAGTGCGGCGGGCATCCCACTATAGAAATAACGGGAGAAGCGATGATGAAATGCGGGCATGCTTTTCCAAAATCAAGCTGAAGAGGATGAAACACGCCCCTCTCAGTCGAGTTGATTGAGAGTGGAGCTGGATCATGTCTATCACTCACGGGTTTGTCCACAAGTGAAAGTGGAAGTACTGTTAATAAATGAAAATCCCCGATGCTGCTATCTATGTAGACCGACAGACTTCACTCACTGCGTAATCCATCCCACTCTCCATTCTCCTGTTTCCGCCTTGCTTCCACCACCACCTCCTCCTCCTCTTGTGCCCACGAGGGATCATTTTTTCCCGCATAATCAAAGAGGAGGCTTTCCTCCATAATCACTACCAGTTTCCTCCATGGAGCTACTACGTCCTAATCCATTCTGACCCGCTCCGATTACTTTCCTACCGGTTAAAGGTTAACCAACCACGACATGGATTCGCCAGCAACCCCCGCGAGGCGTCCGACGAGTCAAATCCCAGTCACCACAACGAGTTCGATCGAGATCATGACTTTGGGGAGACGGATCTTCAGCCAAAGCAGAAACCCAGGGTTCTTCCGGATGATTTACCCACGTCATTGGACGATCGGCGCTCTGTGCCTATGCTCCAAGAGACGGAGATGTATGATGCCTGGCAAGGTGAGTGGTACACCTTTATCTTTTGCGCTGTTTGTCGTCGCGGGGTCTACGAGGACATAGTCTCGACGACCTTCTGTTGGATTGGTTACAATTACGCAAAGAGTCCCTGGCAGCTAATGTAATGCCACATGCCCGCAGGCCAATCCCAATTCCTCACAACACCCATCGCCGCAAAACCACTCAGCTTCAGCCTCGCGCTCGACGACCACTCACACGACGACGAACATACTCTCCAAGCCCAGTATGGGCGCGGGTTCGCGGCCTCGCTCGACGATGATAACGCCTCCACCATCACCGCGCGTCTGGAGGACAGCGACGCTCGGTTAATGGAGATGCTGGCGGCACAGGCGGCGCACCGGGAACTCGAATCGCTGGATGCGGACGAGGACGCTATTGCGAGCGACGAGAAGCTTACGGACGAGGAGAAGCGAAAGATCCTGCAGCGGAGCCTGAATATGGCGGCGAGTAATGGTGATGTGGACCGAGTGCATAAGCTTGTGGGGGGCAAGGCGAAGGACTACGTTGATGTGAATATGCCGGATGAGGAGGGGACGGTTCCGCTCATCTATGCGAGCTGTTTTGTGCGTATTTGGATATTTCTCTCTCGTCGGGGTTGGGTGAGGTACTGATTGAGAACAGGGCCACCAGGATGTTGTTTCGGCGCTGCTCGATGCCGGGGCCAATGTCGACCAGCAGGATCGAAATCAGTGGAGCGCGCTGATGTGGGCGATGACGAACCGGCACAAGACCATTGCAAAGAATCTCCTCGATCATGGTGCCTCGCCGGATATCAAGTCTTCGTCTGGCGGGACCGCGTTTGACTTTGCTCAGCCGGGAAGCGAGATCTCCGAGTATTTACATGAGAATGGGTACAATTTCGGACCGAGCGCGATCGAGGATGACTTTTACGATTCTGGGTTCGCCCATGGTCGGTTCGAGGAGGAGATTGCGGAGAATGAGATGAAGCGGCGCATGATGATGGAGGAGAGCGCTATCAACCTGGAGGTTGATCTGTCGAGTCTGGGACTCGACGAGAAGTTTGAAGTGGGTGCCCCATTCCACAGAAAAATTAATGATGCTGACCGTATAGCCGCTCGACGAGGACGATCTGGAAGACGAGCAGCAAGAGTTTGTTTGGGACCGATGCTTAAACGATCAGATGTTCGTATTCCAAGAGCATGAACTAGAACGAATTCTGGACATCATCATCACCAACATGACCCCGCAGCGTTCACCGTCACAGAAACCAGTACCTGCAAATCTCCTGTTCCTCAGCGCGCGATATGCCCATTATCATGCCAGCCCCGAACTGCTGGCGGATCTCCTCAATTCGGCGACGGAGAAGATCAATGACGTCGTTGAACGGCATCAGTGGGACATGACGATACTCGCATTCTGGATGTCAAACGCTACCCTGCTTTTGCATTATTTGAAGAAGGACGCAGGCTTGGTAGAATCGACTGTCGAGTTTCAACTACACCTGGCAGAGCTTATCAATGAGATATTCATCTTGATCATCCGCGACGCTGAGCGTCGGATGAACAAGGTGCTCGATGCCGCGATGCTGGATCATGAGACCATACCAGGACTGGAAGATGTGGCCTTTCAGAATGAATGGAAGCTCTTCCGGCCCAAGAATAAGACAAAAGCCCCCGAGCCTGCCGAGAAGCGATTCCGGCCACCGTCTCCAAGGCGAAGAGCGCAAGTGTCGCCGCGAAATATTACGTCTTTACTATCTTCGACCTTATTTGTCCTCGATCTCTACGACGTGCATTCGGTCATCACCACACAGATCCTCTCACAGCTCCTTTACTGGCTTGGGGCCGAATTATTCAATCGAATCATGACAACCAAGAGATACCTCGCGCGAACCAAAGCCATGCAGATCCGGATGAACGTGTCCACCCTGGAGGATTGGGCACGTACGAACAATAGACAGCCGGAGCACTATGAGAATGGGTCGACGACGTGCACCGGTGAAAGCACCATGGAAAGCGCGCGCAAGCACCTGGCGCCGGTCATTCAGCTCCTCCAGTGGCTACAATGTTTCTCGTCATTGGGAGACGACCATGAGTCTCTCGTCACTACCTTGCTGCAATTGCAGCAGCTGACTCCCGCCCAGCTCCTTCATGCGGTGAAATCGTATCGACCGGAGGTGGGAGAAAAGGGTCTTACAAAGCAAGCGATGAAGTTTCTGCTTGATCTTCAACGCGATCCCGATCTCCTTGCCCGAGAGCAGCTGAGACTACAAGGCGCCACGGAGCAAGGGACGGCGGACGAGCCAGGACCGAAAGACGGTCGTCCACAAACCCCTGGACAAGACCGGCCTTCGAATGTCCCAGCTCCCGTCACCCCTGAGGCATCCGCGCGCAGCATGGCGTCGCCTGGTTCTGCCAGTGCGTCGCCCCGTCCAGGGCAACCATCACGGCCCGATGAGCGAAACGGGACGAACTCGGTGTTCCTGGATCCATCGCTTACTCTACCTTTCTCCTTACCTACCAGCACCGACATGTTGATCAGCTACGGGGCAGGATGGGGAGGAACCAACCGAGAACGAGCGCGAAAATACATTCCCACGGTTCCCCCGAGGTTCTGACCCGGTTTGACCGCGATGGATGATGCAAGGAATCAGATGCGCTTCGGAATTGGGTTACAGCAGTAGCGAGCTAGCGATACCCCCGTTGAGTCTTGAATTGGATTCTCGTATATACTTTTGATCATCTATTGTATCACCATTGCGGCACGGGCTGCGAGTCGGCATCTTGAAACGTATTCCGTGTACTCCTTATGGGGAGAAATCACGACACTCGGTAGACATTCAGACTCCGGTATGGCAAAATAGACATGTGACTGGCAGGGAAACGGAGACTTCATTTGCATCAAATGAAATAGGATTGTGATCATCTTTAGGATTACTGGATGCGGACCCGATGAATCTTGGGTCGCGTGAGGTTATGTTGGCAAGTGAGTTTGAAGATTGAGTAAGGACGTCAGAGATCCTTTAGCTGAAACATCTGGCCTGAATCCGAGTCTAGGCAATTTCGATCATCAACGAAGAATGATTCAAGGCAAGATTTAGTTACGGCTTGGCCGTTAAGTAATACAAAAGAGGAGAAAGGAAGCGAGCCTCGGCCGAAATAGGACGAGGAATTACCCGATATGGAAGGAGCCCTCTCCATCCATCTCCTAACGACCAGCATATCCTTGCTTCCTTGAGTAAGTCGAGCCTTGGAGATGCGTGATTGTCTCGATTGTACAGGGGTCTCAAGCCTCTGCTCTGTCTCATTTGTCGATGCATGGTTCAACTAACCCACTTTGGCAGAGTGGATTATGCGCTAAGCCGGCACTAATGCCCAGCTAAGGATTGGAGCTACTGCAATACTAACTATAACCCGTATGGCCATAACTCTATATACTAAACTAGGAATTGCTACCGATCCACGTCGGCTCCGATACTATCACCGAGAAACTCCAGGAAGGCCAGGCATCAACATTTTCCCCCAAGACATCGGGAAACTCAAGATGAAACTTTGGTGAGAGCAAAGATGTCAAGAAGCATCTTAAGAACAGAAGACAAGCATTGAGTTTGATTGCGATCGCCATGTTGAGATTGAGCATGTACAGAGTATCATGGTTTTGCTGCGGTATGACAGGAGGGGGTATCTACCTAATTCCTAGGTAAGCCATATATGCGATATCTCCTTGGTCAATTCAGTCGTGAACAATGCGAAGTAGGTTATTCTCAACTCATTAAGGGCCTTATTTCATTACCGAGTACTCCTCTTTACAAAGGGTGTATCTCACCTCGGACCGTCCCGCTTCAGCACTTCTCTCTCTTACACACTCCCTCTGTCGGAGAATTCAACGCCAACAAGAAAGTCAATCGGCAAGGGTGATTGGTTTCTTCTTTCTTGCCTACGTACTCCCGCAAGAAACGCCTCCAATCGATAGACACTTGCCTAGCCCGGGCCTTTTCCCACCTTCGTCGTCATCACAGAGCGCCAGAACTACGCAATGGGCGACTAAGTCTCCACTCCGGGTGAACCATCAGACTAGAGACTCGTGTATTCCCGTAGCTTTCGAGCGCGTAGATAAAAGGACAGCTTGCATAAGATTCGACGATTACAATAATGAAGGGTTATTTGAGAAAGCTTTACCCACATCTTCCAGAACTCCTCGGCGTAGCAAAGTATTAATAATTGATACTACTCAATATTCGATATTAAATGCCAAACTCTAAAGGGAACAAAACAAACTCCACTGATTT